CCCTCTGGTAGTGGGCCCTGGAGGTAGAGCCAGTTCTAACTATGGCCAGGGACAAGCTCAGTTATGCGCAGAAGGGTGGCTGCAAGGGTGAAAGCTCAGGCCCACTAGGGGCCAAACAATGACTCCACTCTACATAGCTGTGTGGCCTTGGGGCAAGGGGCACAACTTCTCTGAGCCTGGTTTCCTTATTTATGACGAGGGGATAGCAATGATTTGGCAGAGTTCTTGGGATGACTAAAGAGACTGATGGGCATATGTATGCACACCACATTCATTTGGCAACTAAGTGGTTTCTGGCACAGCAGAGGCCCAGGAAAAATAACACATTCCCTCTAATAAACTTTTTTTTTTTTCCGTTTCCTGTACGTTGAGCCTTTCTGTTAAAAACTTCACCCCTAGCCTCTTTGTCTGCCATTTTCTGACTCTTTAACAACTCCTCCGAACAAGGGCCTCTATGCTTACAAGTTCTGGGTTACTTCAACTGAATAGATAGAACACATACTGATAATTGCACTTATGTTCCTAAAACGCAGTAACTTTGCTATTAACAAAAACATCTGCACAGAAAAGAAAGTTGTTTTGCTTTGTGTGAAGAATAAACCACCAAATGGTATTTCAGAGATGGCGAATGTCCCCAATTACTTGCCCAGGTTGAGTTGCTTTGACACCTGCCCATGGTGCATCTCGGATACCCCCTCACTCCTTTTCTTATCCCACTGCCACCCCTGTGCCCTCTCTAGGGTTACTGGGGAAAGATTTTTTTCTTTTTAATTTAGGTACAGGAAAACAACAACAGCAACCTAACAACCTTCCAAGAGGTAGAAGAAACTGCTTAAGTTCATGGTTCTCAAGGTGTGGTTTCAGACCAGCAGCCTCAGCATTACCTGAGAATTTAACCGTGATGTAAATCTTTTTGCTCCCTTTTGCTCTTGTCACCCAAGGCCTACTGAATCAGGATAAGGAAAAGGGAGGGCCAACTACTTTCATTAAGAAACTGGAAGGGCTGGAGGTGGCACAGTGGTGAAGTATGATAATCTGTGAGGCTGATGCACATGGGAACCCATACGAACATGGGTTCACATCCAGAAATTTTCTTGAGTGTGTTAGCCACAGGCATGCCCATGGTCTAGGGCTGGCTAAGACTTGGAGTGAATGGTGGCATCAAGACCCTGTTGGGGGTGCTTGTTTCTCTGTCTCTCTGGTTCATGGAGGAAATAAATATCGATTGGGCCCAGCCTAATGTAATGTTTAATGTTGAAGATGATGACTATGTCTGTATCTGTTATTTGATAGTTATACACTGAACGTATGCTGTGGAAAACCATACTCTATCCCACATGTAAAAAAATAATAATTAAAAAAATATTTTTAAAAAGAAAGGAACTAGAGTTCCAGTGGGGAGATATTTCTGAGAGAATCCCTTTCTGAAAAATGAGATTCTGAACTTAAAAAAAAAATAGAATAAAATGGGGAGCTTACAGATGAAGGAAACTACATTTTTTAAAACAGACAAAGAGATGAAAGAGGCAAGACAATGAAAGAGGTCTAGATTTGCTGCATATTTTTCGATAAAAGGGATTTAACTTGCTGTTCAGCCTGGCATTCACTGTGATGATTTCTACAGACCCTTTTCTTTTTTTTTTTTTTTTTGAGAGATTTTCGCTATAGGGCGCGTGCGCTCGCCAGACAGACAGAGAGAGACATAGAGACAGAAAGCGAGAAATCACCCCCCGACCAACAGTTACAGCCAACGGAACAGGCAAAACTGGTCGCCTACCATCGATGTCATGAAATGCTACCAGGATTCCAGAGCTTCTGTGTTCATTTTCCCAACACTCTCAAGCAGTGTCCCCACTGCCCTCTCCAATGCCAGCTGGCATGTGAAGGCTCATCCCCAGGCCCTTGGCATGGAGGCTAGAACACAACAGGAACTTGAGGTACATACCTCACAGATCTTTTCCAAAGAGGGGACGAAGAAGTCATCACACACAATGGCCAGCGCGTAGAACATGTACATGGCCTGCAACAGAGGAGAGGAGAGAGAGTAAACATCAGCGCTGGTGGAGCCAGGGGTGAGGGCTCAGCCACCTTCTGCTTCAGTAATGTCCTTGGTCATCATGAATTCATCATCTTACTCAGAGTAAGTACAAAGCCATGGCAATGACCGCAAGACCCCATGTGACCTGGTCCTGGCTTCCTCTCTGGCCTCGTCAATTGACAAAAATAAATTTAGGACAGTCATGTCTGCCTAAAAGTGTTATTTGTCTGTTAAACTAGTCCACAGGTTGTTTCAGAAATACTTTATCAAGGGACCATCAGTTAGCGTAATGGCTATGTTGCTGGACTCCCATGTAGTTGACCATGGTTCGAGTCCCACACCCGGCAGCTTAAACTCACGCTGGGCACATATGCGTGTGTGCTCAAGATCCTGAGAGGAGAATGAAGGGGAAGGGATTGTGGCATGGCCAGTCCCCCTGGGAGGTTGATTTCTCGCTTTCTATCTCTTTGTCTCTCTCTGTCTTTTTGGCGAGTGTACGTGCCCTATAGCAAAAACCTTTCCAAGAAAGAAAAAAAAAAGAAATATGTTATCAAATTATGAAAGTTCAAATACAATAATGTTTGAAGACTATAAATGATAAACTTATGTTTATAAGGGAAAAAATCAAAATTTTTTTTGATTGTCTGGAGATAGCTCACTCTAGTGTTCATCTGTTAATTATTTGTCATCAAAAGAGCATTTTGCCTAAAAGAACGGAATGACAAGTGTGTGAAATGTTTACAATCTTCTGCAAAACTATAGTTAGTTTATTATTAGTTTGTATCTGTAAATTATTGTTATAAATATTACTTGTATTTTTTGTTATATACAACTTTATGCTTTGAAGCTTGTATCTTTAAATTTGCAACTGAAATTTAGTTTGCCAATGTTTTCTAAATGAACTAAATAAAGCTACTGTTGTAGCATGTAAAAAATAAAATTCTCTCCAACACTCAGTGGTTGAAAGGAAAACACACACACACACACACACACACACACACAAACAAAAAACTCCACCTGAGCCTTCAGTGACATTCCTGAGCTGTTTATCATGTGGCCTTAGAGATCATCCTGCCTGCAGATGCCTTTTTCTTTGAATTACTTATTTAATTTAATTAATTACTTTATTTTTAAAATACTTGCTATAAGGCACATGTGCTCACCAGAGAGCAAGAGAGAGAAATCAAGCTGCCAGGTCTGGGACTCAAACAGTGGTCAGTCATGTGGGAGTCCAGTGCCTTAACCACCATGCCAACTGCCAGTCCCATCTGTAGACTTCTTCACATACCATAAGCATTGTTGATTAGTGGTTTATTACTTGCAACCCAAACCATCTAATGGATGTGGTTCAAATTCCAGCGTATTCAGTAGTGACATCTCTTTCATTTACTGATCTCCTGGCACCTTTTCCTTCTAAGAATCGTCCCTCAAGATGGCCTTTCAGTCACATGCTCCTTCTTCCCTCACCATGGGGCATCATCATCACATGGCCCAGGTGAGTCACTGAAATACCCCAGTCCCTGCCACGCAGTGGTGAGTGGACAGAAGGCCTGTATGGGGCTAGGTGGAGGTGATTAGATAAGCTGGGGAGACATGATTTCACTTTATAGCATGTAAACACCCCTGTGTCTGGAGCTGCTACGCAGAGACAGCTTGCCTGAGAATGCCACTCACATGGTAAGAAATCAAATTGAGAGATGGAACACACACACACACACACACACACACACACACACACACATACACACATGTGCCCGACCACACCATGTGAATCTTGAGCCCAGCTCAGTCTGAAATCAAAGTAGACATTCCAATTTCATGAGCCAATAATATACCTTTTACCCTTAAGCTGATTTGAGCCAATTCCTGTCACTAGCAGCTGTCCTTCATGGAGCCTTCTGTAGCAACCCAAGCATGAAATGATCTCTCGTCTTTGACTCTTGACAGCTGCACTAATTCAGCCACGGCATCTCCCTTTGTATAAGCCTGTTTTCTTTCAAAGTGTATGTTTGGTCTCTTCTAGCAGATTGTAAGAAACTAATGTACATTTTAACACTCAGTTCTATGGGGTATCAGAGAAATGCACAGACATATACATTGGTGATATTCATTCTAAAAATTGCTGACTATAATTAAATATCAAAACCCAACAAAATATATCACAGGGGATAGGTTATATAAGCTAGGATTCATCATTCAATGAAATACTGTTAATAGGGATTATGTAAATGCATATTTAATGGCAAGGAAAGGAATTCACGATGGATTGCTAAATGAAAAATAACAGTATGGGACTCGGCAGGTGGTATGGCAGTTAGAGGCACTGGACTCCCACCTGGCCAACCATGGTTTGAGTCCTGGACCTGGTGGCTTGATTTCTGACTTCCCCCCATCCCCTCTCTCTGTTTCTCCTTGGTCAAGTTCAAAAATAATGATAATGATAAAATTAAATAAAATAAATCTCTAAAAAAATGACAGTATGCATCATTTCTTTTTTGTTAAACTTTCTATCATATGTGTATTTATATATACATGTACTTATACAAGTATGTGGAATTTGCATATTAGAATTTGTAAGTGTATCAATAAAAATAATAGCCATATTTCTCCTTCAGTTGGTGTGACTCTATCTGTATCTTATAATCACTATCCATATTTTCTAATTTTTCCACCCTTAATTTGTATTTCTTGTGTGCTTTTTTTCTTTTCTCATTTCTTTTTTTTAAATTTATCAATTTATTTTTCTTTTTTTAACATTAATATGCTATAAATCATTACAGTATACAAAATGAATTTTTCATCCAAAATACACTGTCTGTTGGCTCAATCAAGCACATCGACATACGTGTTATCAATAAACAATTTTTCATTTCTTATGTCTTGTATATTTTGCGGTGTTTTTTTTTTTTTGCCTTGATTCCCTATCCCTAACCCTCTGCCCTGTCCAACCCTCCTCCCATTGTCTCTGGTATCCATGATTGCTTTCTATGCCTATCCCCCCCACCCCCCTATTTAATTGATTTGCTAATGAACTTAATTTGTCTAAATATTTGCAATAGCAAGCACAGCTGATATACACATACACAAGAACCCAAGTCTGACTTTAGGCATAAACCTCAGTGAATAGAATGAACATACTATAAAATAGTACCTAGCTGGGGCTATATAGCTTACTGTGGTCATCAAATACACAGTTTTTTCTTTAAATTTTGGTAACAGTTTTAGTATTTTTTTCCTCTGAATTTTTTTTTTTAATTTACATTCATTCCCTGAGCATCATCACAACATACTAAATGTGGTTTCCCCTCTAGAGTA